GTTCTTCCCAAGTCTCGTGAGTACTGGTCTCCTGGTTTCGCAGGAGACGTTCGTCATCCCAACTATGAGAAGGAACAGGTTTATCCACGTCGGGATTCCCTATTCTTCGTTCGTCCTTGTCGCGGTCCTACTAATCTTCTTACTTCGAAGAAGACGTTCGGTCAACCAACGATCGCAAGGAGGAACAGGTGTATCCACGTCGGGATTCCCTATTCTTCGTTCGTCCTTGTCGCGGTCCTACTAATCTTCTTACTTCGAAGAAGACGTTCGGTCAACCAACGATCGCAAGGAGGAACAGGTGTATCCACGTCGGGATTCCCTATTCTTCGTTCGTCCTTGTCGCGGTCCTACTAATCTTCTTACTTCGAAGAAGACGTTCGGTCAACCAACGATCGCAAGGAGGAACAGGTGTATCCACGTCGGGATTCCCTATTCTTCGTTCGTCCTTGTCGCGGTCCTACTAATCTTCTTACTTCGAAGAAGACGTTCGGTCAACCAACGATCGCAAGGAGGAACAGGTGTATCCACGTCGGGATTCCCTGCTTCGTCGTCCCATGCTCGTGGCCCTACTAGCCTTCTGCTTTTGCAGAAGGTGTTCATCGATCCACGGGAAATGGGAGGAACTGGTTTATCTTGCCGAGGTTCCCTTTGGTACGTCCAGCCTCCCCCACGTTCCTACTAACCTCCGCGTCGGGAGACGTTCGTCACGTGGTGAAGGAAGATCAGGCATACCTCGTCAAGACTCCCTCTCTCATAGGATCTCGTCTCCCCTTCTCCCCATCTTTTTTTTTTTTTTTTTTTTTTTTTTTTCCTTCTTTTTTTTTTTTTTTTTTTTTTTTTTTTTTTTTTTGAGGGAGGAAAATACGTTCGTCGGTTCCAAGAATAACCACAAGTGATGTCACACATAATGGTGGTGGGATATCAAAATGAATAGAATGACGAGGCGATGGAAATGCTGGTCGTCATGCGAAGGCGATGGTCACCCTCCTGAAGGGAGGGGTGAGCCCAATCGCTAACTCAAGAAGGTCGACATTGGGAGCCGATACACAATGATCATAATGTCGCTGAGCAGTCGGTCCTGATAATGGAGATGGCAATAGTGTCTAGTCAGGCCGATATATCCGAGCAACGGCTCTCATCCAACGCAGCGCGGGGATGAAACCGGTCTTCAAAAGATAAATATGTCGTGCCGAGAGGCCGAACATAACATGATAGTGTCGGCAGTGAGAGGCCGACCTGAAAGAATCAACAATGGTCCTCGTCCACGAGGTGGCGGGGATGAGGCCGGTCTTCAAAAGATAAGCACGCCGAGCCGAGAGGCCGGTCGTGGTATAATGATGTCGGCAATGAGAGGCCGATATGAAAGAATCAAGCAACGGTCCTCATCCGCGAAGAGCGGGGACGAGGCCGGTCTTCAAATATGATAATCACGCCGGTCCGAGAGGCCGGTCGTGATATAATGATGTCAGCGATGAGAGGCCGACCTGAAAGAAATCCAGCAACGGTCTTCGTCCGCGCAGCGCGGGGACGAGGCCGGTCTTCAAAAGATGATAATCACGCCATGCCGAGGGGCCGGTCGTGATATAATGATATCGACAATGAGAGGCCGATCTGAGAGTGAGCACACAACGGTCCTCACCCACGGGGAGCGGGGATGAGGCCGATCTTCAAATATGGAAAGCACGCCGAGCCGGGAGGCCGGTCGCGATATAATGGTGTCGGCAATGAGAGGCCGATCTGACAGAATCAAGCAACGGCCCTCATCCACGAAGGGCGGGGACGAGGCCGGTCTTCAAAAGATAAACACGCCGTGCCGAGAGGCCGGTCGTGGTATGATGATGTCGGCGATGAGATGCCGAACATGATGTGGCAGTGTCGGCAATGAGGGGCCGACCTGCAATCCAGCAACGGCTCTCATCCGCGCAGTGCGGGGACGAGGCCGGTCTTCAAATATGGAAATCACGCCGTGCCGAGAGGCCGGTCGTGATATGGTGTTGTCGGCAATGAGAGGCCGACCTGAAAATCAGGATGGTCTCACGGCCCTCGACCGTGATGGTCTCCTCTAGGCCCTCGGCCTCTGAATGATGGATGATCGTCTCACGGTCCTCCGTCGTGGTAGTCCACTCTAGACCCTCGGCCTCTAGGTGTTCTCCCTAGGCCATCGGTCTCTGGGGTGGAGATGCCCGTCCCACGGTTCTCAACCGTGGTGGTCTCCTCTAGGCCCTCGGCCTCTAGGTGGAGATGCTCGTCTCACGGTCCTCAGCCGTGATGGTCTCCTCTTTAGCCGGCCCTGCACGTCTTCAAGATTCGGGCCGAGCGTCTTCTAATCATTTCGCTCAAGCGCGTCGAGCGGCTTCGGCTGCGCAATAAGCATGGTAACGGGCCGCGCGGCCCGATAATAAATATGCACACATAACCATCTGCATGGGTCATCGTGGCTTCCCTCTAACACCCACGATTACCGGCCTATGGGTCATCGTGACCCTCGGCCCGGCTCATCGTGCGGGGTTAATGGACGTAGCAGCTCGCGGCGGGGCCAATTAGCAGCCCGCCGAACGTCACATAGAAATATTCACCGGTCCGTGAGTTTTCAAACTCAGACCCAAGTTGGTCGCACTACCCTCGAAAAATGAGGTTGAGCACTTCGGTGCCCTCGGGCCCCACAGGCCGCGTTTGGCACAGTCACTTCGCCTAGTGGCGCAGATGGTACTAGGGTACGATCGTCGCTCGGGCACTTGGTGCCGTGCGGACCAATGCGTAACCCCCCAATTAAAATGCGTCGTCGGGGCATCGCCCTTCTGGAGACGCTCGGATCGCTTAATCAAGCTGATTGAGAGTGGGCCATCGGGCCCCACAAAAAATTAAATATTCGATAAAATATTGGCCGAACTAACTATCACTAGAGCTTCGCTCTGCATTATTTATTTCGGGACATTTTTATCCCTAACAAATAATAGTGATGTAACAGGCAATAATACCGATATTATCCTATCATTGGTCATTCAGATGCGCTCCGTTCGCTAATTAAAGCTGATCAGGAGCGGGCCGACGGGCCCACAACAACCAGTCATTAAATTTAAATGACGGTAAAAACTAATTATCACTTAGAGCATCACTCTCATTATTTAATTTCGGGAGTTTTAATCCCTAATAAATAATGGTGATAAAAATACTGGCAATATTTAATCATGCTGTATTATTCTAATACTTCAATAACTAGTAAATTGGGTTAGTGGCACTTAGCTTTTGGAGATCAAGCTTCGGCCAGCTGGGTTTGGAGATAAAGCTTGGTCAATTCTTCCATCAATTTTGACCCGGTCAACATTATTTTAAAAGTTTGCTCTTCATTATTTGGCCTCACTCCACGGACGTGGCTTGCCTCAGACCAAGGCATCGTGTGCGGAGTACATCTTTTAGGAAAAGGCAGGTGGAGCACCATCCTACCAAACCAGGTGCAGGCCGTTCGTGTCGGTCACTTCTCGCGAGTGGAGACGGCGGTCGCAGCCGAGCAAGGCGGCCCGAACAGCTTTTATCCGGCGGAAGCTCGACCGAACTACTGAACGTCCTTATTCTGAGCTCGAAAAACACCATTAATGGCAGAATCATGAAGCTCTCGACCGGCATACCCCACATGTCGCGTCGGCCGAGTCGTGGAAGCTCGAACGGCGACCGGGTGGGGGGAGTAACCAGCAGTAGGTCGGTGATGGCGACGGTGGTGTGGTGATGCTTTGGCGGCGACGATGCTCCGGCGGCGGCAGCAAAACAGAGCAAGATCCGGACAACCCAGATCTTCCAAAATCCTCGTTTTTCCTCTTCCTCCCGTTCAAATCAGTCATTTTTCCTTCTTTTTCGCTGGAATCAATCCACTCCATATGAATTTTTCGCAGAAACTCAAGAACAGTAGAACACACGAATCTTTTTGGACAGATTCCCACAGACGGCGCCAGTGTTGAGTTTAATCCAACACGATATAGTAAATATATGTATAAATGTGTATGAACAAGCCATTTTTACGTGGAAACCCGAAAGGGAGAAAACCACGGGACTTTTTAGGCTAATGTCCAAGCCCTCTCAATTCTCATTAGGCTCTCCTCACCATTACATTATACAAGCTTGAAGCTCCCATTAATGGAGTATTTGAGCTATTCTAGAGGAAGAAGGAAGAAGGAAGCTAAAAAAGAGCCTCCTCAATATGGAGGGAAGCTCCCATATTTATAGAGAATAGGGGGAGGGGATGCTCTCCACCCTAACGGGCCGCGTGGGCCGAAGCGGGCCGAAATGGCTAGAGTGGGCCGGATGGGCCGAAATGGGCCTAGCTGCTCGGGCTCCGTAGTGAGTAATGTCCTGGGCTCCTGAACAGTAATAGGCCGGGATAATATATCCCAACAAAATGTATTTTTAATGTATTCATTGCTATACTGTTTTATAACATAAGGACTTCTATGATGTTTTATTCATGATATCCAAATCAGACTAAATAAATGAGAAATTAGGTATTTGCGGTATTTCAACTTACGTATACCAACGATAATACATTAAAGCTTTTAAGTATTTCATCATTTAACTTTTTAAGTATACCGGTTACCCACGATGGTACATTCAAACATACAACCAAAGGATTTTCAAGCACTAATTTTTTCCTTTTTAATTGTGTTTGGATTTTAATTTAGATATTTAATTGCTATTTCAATTGTGTTTGGATTTTAATTTAGATATTTATTGTTTTTGTTTTGTTTTGACATTTATGGCCCGCAGGCTGGCCCGCATAACCCGTGGGTTAGGTGGGTCGGGTTAGAGTCATAAAAATTCTGGCCCGATAGTAAGCGGGTTGGCTCGCTCCGACCCGTGAAACTCATAACCCGCCGCAGGTCGGGTCGGGTCGGGCCGGGTTGTCCCGTTTGACAGCTCTATTTGGAGACATACATACAGAAATTACACTAATTTTGAATTTTCCTGGAAAAACAACAGCAAGTGATGCACTGATGCCCAAAGCGTGGAACTTTTCTTACTAAAACGTGGAGCCTAGAAGTCAACACGGATCACCCATCCCATTATTGAGCTTCTATATAATAGCCCGCAGAAGCCATACTTTCCTTACCCCTCACGTATTTACTCCAAATTAAGAAAGAGATCTGAGTCCATATACTTCGTATATACTACAGTAATTACTAAGTAAGATGAAACATAATAAGAAAACAGCCCCTTTCTCAATCCTTTTGATCCTTTCGGTGATGAAAGTCTGTTTGGGGGGAGAAATAGCGATATACTGGGGACAAAATGGGAACGAGGGCAGCCTGGGAGATACCTGCGCCTCCGGCAACTACAACATCGTCAACGTCGCTTTCTTGACCGTGTTCGGAAGTGGTCGGACTCCGGTCCTGAACCTCGCCGGCCACTGTGATCCTGGCAGCAATGGGTGCACCGGCCTGAGCGCCGACATCAAAGCCTGCAAGAGTCAGGGCATCAAAGTTCTGCTCTCCCTGGGAGGTGGGGTTGGCACCTATTCCCTTTCTTCGGCTGATGATGCCAAGTAAGTTTTGCTCCATCCATCCAGTAAATAATGTTGATGTAGTATAATCGTGTGGTTGAATTTAAGTAGAAGAGGAAATAATCATAATACGGAGTACTACAGATGTTTTCTTTTGGACGGTTTTCAGTCCCAACCAGACTAGACTTAAACAGACCAGACCAGATTAGACCAGACTTAAACATACCTGACCAGACCAGACTTAAACAGACCATACCAGACCAGACTTCCGTAGTTATAAAATACACAGAGACCAGACGTTTACCAGACCATACCAGACCAGTTCAGACCAGACCAGACTTAAACAGACCAGACCAGACCAGATCAGACCAGACTTAAACAGACCAGACCAGACCAAACCAGCAAATTTCAGTCCAAAAGAAAACATCCGTAGGTAATAACAAATAACCTCTTAAAGACGGTTCGGAGATTAAGAGCTCGACGACCCTGTTTTCATAAATACATTACCTTTTATTTTGCGTGTTGACTTAGGTAATAATAACAAAAGTAAGGTTACGTTATTATAGAGGATCATTTCAACAATTTCAGCCAAGACTTTATAAATTTCGACAGAATTAACTGGTTCACTCAATTCATGTGTTACTAATTAAACAGACTCTTAGAAAATAAGAATTGTGTGACATAAAATTGTGAGGAGAGAAGTTTTTTTTAAAACAAATTATTTTGGAACTGTTATGTTTACTAACAAATACTTCTGAAACGGGCCAAACGGAGTATGAAAAAGTGATTTTCAACTTTTGACTTGAACAAAATTGAAATGAGTGTTTTAAGTGACTGCTTGTGTTTAAATTAAACACTTAAAAACTAAAAACTGAAAAATGTTTTTTGCTTTTTCTATCACACAAATACGAGATTAATCTAAACACTCAGAGGCTTTTCTCTTTAGCTTTCATAGCATTTGCCCAACGCCAAACTAAAATAACAATGGCTTGTACACAAAAAATCCCGAATTAGAGATACATACATTCTTCATTGGCCTAAAGTTTTTGGAGATCAATCTATGCATAGGAGTGTGGCTCAATATTTGTGGGACAGCTACCTTGGCGGACAGTCAGGGTCAAGGCCGCTAGGAGACGAACCTCTTGACGGAGTTGACTTCGATATAGAATCAGGCGGAAGTCAGTTCTACGGTGAACTTGCGACGGCCTTAAAGACATTCGGACAGAACGTGTACTTATCGGCGGCGCCGCAATGTCCATTCCCCGATGCAATGCTGCAACCGGCCATAACCACCGGAGTTTTCGACTCCGTTTGGGTTCAGTTCTACAACAACCCTCCCTGTCAGTATTCTTCGGGGGACGCCTCCAATCTCCTCAACTCTTGGAACAATAATTGGGCAAATATTCCCGCCGGGAAAGTCTTTCTTGGATTGCCGGCCGCTCAGGCGGCTGCCGGGAGCGGTTTCATCCCGGCGGATGTGGTTACATCTCAGATCCTTCCGGCCATCAAAGGTTCTGCCAAATACGGAGGCGTGATGCTCTGGTCTAAATTCAATGACAACGGCTACAGCTCAAGTATAAAGTCTGCTGTTTGATCAATTAAAATTTTATGTACTCTCTTTGTAATGTTCTCAGCTTGTATAATTGAATAATTGTATCACTTTTAAATTGAGATATTACTCAAAATAGGACTAAAAGAGTTTGAAAATTCCAAAATAGGACTAACATGTTTTTATTCCCAAAATAGGACTTATTATTGCCATGTTTTGGCAGTATTAGACTTCAAACATGGCAGTATTTTTCAAACTTGACAGTAATTACTCTTATTTTGGGAATGAAAACATCACAGTGCTATTTTGGAATTTTCAAACTTTTTTAGTCTTATTTCGGGAACTTTCCCTTTTACTTCTTCCATCCCTTAACAATGGGACAAAAAAGAGTGACACGTAAATCAATAAAAAGTTGTGTAAATCTACCATTTTTTCTCATATACTCCTTAATTCCTTATAACTTTCATGTATTAACTTTATCGTATGTTTGAGTAAATCTACTATCTTTGATATGTAAATCTTGTGTAATAAGACCTTTGTTACACAAGATTTTATCGTATGTTTGAGTAAATCTACCATCTTTTTCTCATATACTCCTTATAACTTTGATGTATTAACTTTTTATACTTGAGATTAAGAGCCCTAATCTGAAATTGATTCAATCGACTGATTTTGCTGAAATTTATGAAGTTTTAGCTTAAGTGACTGGATTGTCTGAGTCTGCAAATTTATGAAAATATTATATTTAAAATATATTGTATTAATAAAAAAATTATATGAAAAATAGCTAAAACTTAACTTCAGCCAATACATCAAAAAAGTAACTTCAACCTTACACAATCCCGCAAACTAACAATCTGATTGAAAAGTAAATTTATCAATTTACCAGTTTCTAAATCACATGTTTGTCCTTTCAAAAAAATCACATGTTTGTAATTTGCCATAAAAAAACATCACATGCTTGAAATGTACTCCCTCCGTATCAAATTAATTGACTCATATGCCTTTTCACGTAGTTTAAGGCAAATATATGTAAAGTAGGAGGTTTTGGTACTGTAACGACACTGTAGCAGTACTATAGCGGTACTGTAGCTGCTTTTTGGGTGGATTTATTTCCAAAAAGGGAAATGAGACTTTTATTTTGATACGTCCGGAAAAGGAAAGCGGGTCAATTAATTTGATACGGAGGGAGTAACAATTAGATTGAACGCAGAAGTAATTTTATCAAAATATTTGAATTATACAAAATGCTAATCAATTTTATTGACAATTACATTTGTTCTTCCTGGGGTGTTCCAATTTGCAAATGATTAATTATACTCCCTCCGTCCTTAATAACTTTGCCAAGTTTGACCGACACGGGGATTAATAAAGTAAAAACTGTGTGGTTGAGGTTTGTGCAGAGGAGAGAGAATTAACTAGAACAACAAATTCTTTACTTAAATGGGAAAATAACAAAGTTAATGAGACATTCAAAAAAAGAAAGTTGTCAAAATTATAAGGGACAAAGGGAGTACAATAGAACATTTGACCCTTTTTCGAATCACAAGAGTTTAATTCGTGAAATTATATACTCCGTACTACGTATTTAGAGTGGGTTTGACACTTTTTTTTGGAAGAAACTGACTTGATACTTCAAATCCAAAAACATAAGATAATAGTTTTCAAATATAAAAATGTGAAGAAAAAAACAAAAAAGGAGAGGTTTACCTATGACTAAATTGAAGTCTATTTCTAAAAAAGTGACTATTTCTATATATAGATAAAATATGACTAATAAGGTCATATATATTTAAAAATCATGACGTAATTAACTATCATATTTTCATGTCACAATCAAATTTTCATGTCACTAATGAATGTCACTATCAGATTTTCATGTCACTAAAGAATGTCACCACCTCCACTAAACATGTCACCGGTATTCCTTTTTTTTAAACAACTAAAAACGGAAAAAACATTAAAAATTTCTAACGGCTTTTTAGGTGACGGTTTTCGACATCATTTGCTGATAGAGCAGTTCCCGACGGTGACTGATCAGGTGTGGGGCTACGACAGAGATTGGATATATTACAATGAGATGAAATTGATTAATTAAACAAAATGTTATTCATATATTTTGAAAAATAAAAATTAGTCACTTTTTTTGTTGTATTTCACAAGGCTATGAGTAATATTTATATCCCTTTTTCGAAGGATGTGTGTCTAATAAAAACGGATTGAATATGTCTTGTTTCCAACTTAGGGCGTGTTTGGCATTTGGCGATTAGCGATTAGCAGATAATAGATTATGTTTGTAGGTTGTTAATAGTAGATTCAGACAGTGAGTTTGACTAGCAAAATAAATTGGCGGGTTGTTAGAAGATGTTTGATAAATTAACTATTTAGTCATAAAAATTATTAGAGAACACCATATTTCAAAACGTTAACCCAAAACTCACATATTTGTAGCATTTCCATTTCAACAGTTACGCTAAAAAATGATAGAGCTGAACTCATATTTACCAAACATCGTCATTACTTATTGAAAACGTCCGGGTCAAATCACCGTTTTTTTTTTCAAACTCATTTTCGATACACCCCTAAATCCAAAAAGAACATGGGACCTATGTAGGGCTGTGCACGGGTCGGGTTCGGGCGGGTCGGGTTTGCGAACCCTAAACCCGTTCGGGTTTTTTAATTTAAATACTAGGCCCGACCCTTTGATATTTCAAATCGGGTATTTCGGATATTTTTAAGTCGGATATTATCGGATATCGGGTCGGGTTTCAGATATTTTGGTTATATTAAGAAAAATTATAATTGGATAATTAAAGTGTTTAAATGCCACTTTGACAAAAATTGTACACACTAGTGCACTAAACTTCCAAATTACACAAATAATTTAACACAAATTGCACAAATAATTACACAAATAATTGAACAAAAGTATTAATTTAACATATTCAAAGTACACACTACATAATTTAATATATTTCGGATATTTTGGTTATATTAAAACACATTATAGTTGGATCATTAAAATGTTGGAATGCCACTTTGACAAAAATTGTACACATTAGTGCACTACACATTCAATTTACACAAATAATTTAATACAAATTGCACAAATAATTACACAAATAATTGAACACAAGTATTAATTTAAATATTCAAAGTACACATTAACCTATATTTCAGATATTCGGGCGGGTCGGGTTGGGATTTCACAAACCCTACCCGCCACCCGGTCTAAGCCCAATACTAATCGGATTTTCGGTTTCGGGTTTTTCGGGTCGGATATCCACTTCGGTTCGGATAATATCCGGAAAAAATATCGGGTTTTTCGGGTCGGATCGGGTTTTGCTCAGCCCTAGAGTATGGGACTAATCACTAATGTATATTATGTGTGTAATGAATACTACGTATGTAGTATTATTTTAAGCTCTGATCCAGGAGTCGGCGAGTCGCTCCTGTCCTATATCCATTCCCGATTGCTAAGCTATTATTACAAAACATTGTTATTTCATTTTCCTGTTCAAATTTGAGTTCACTCATAACTCTTCTCACCTATATAACTTTATACTCCGTACTTGATATGCATCAATAGTCAGTCTTTATATTCCCCAAAGGAAAATTACTTCAAATAGGACTGAAAATGTTTGTAAATTTTAAAACAAAATTATCATATTTTTATTCCCCAAATGAAACTAATTACTACCATATTCTGGCAATATCAGACTTTAAACATGATAAAAATTTTCAAACTTGGTAGTAATTACTAGGGGTGTTCGTCGGTTCGGTTTTGGCGGTTTCGGTTTTATCGGTTCGGTTTTAGTCGGTTTCGGTTTTTAGTCGGTCGGTTTTGATCGGTTTCGGTTTTTAGTCGGGCGGTTTTAGCGAGAATCGGACCGCAAAAATTGAGTCAATTTTGGTCAATTTGTATCGTTTTCTGTCGATTTTTACCCATTTTTGCCGGTTTATTTTCATTTGACCGGTTTTTAAGTCAAAAGTATGAACCGTAAACCGAATAACCGATGAATTAGTCACTTTCGGTCGGTTTCGGTTTTATCGGTTCGGTTTTGGTCGGTTTCGGTTTTGGTCGGTTTCGGTTTTGGTCGGTCGGTTTCGGTCGGTTTGGCGGTCGGTTTCGGTTTTTTCGGTTTTTTTGTTCACCCCTACGTTACTCCTATTTTGCAAATAAAAACATGACAGTACTATTTTGAAATTTTCAAACTTTTTTACTCTTATTTTGGAAATTTTCCCTTATACAAATTGTGAGAGAAATTTGAGTTGGTCATGGATTTTATAAGAATAAATGGAAATTATATTTTTAAATTTATAACCTCTAAAACAAATAATGTTTAGTATGACTTTACAAAATTAAAATGATCGAGAAATATAGGATACCCAAAATGTTAAGAAAGTAATAACAATATCGTGGCGTTATAGCTAGAAAATTAATTCTTTTTATACGAGACAAAATGAAAAAGTATATCTTACCAAGTACAATGTATTATGTTGATAATAATAAAATTAATAAACAAAATAATGATAAATGTATGACTTAAATGAAGATAGTAGAAACATTTTTTTATATAATTTAGTAATTATTATAAATTTATAATAATAGTTTTAGTAACCATGATTATATTCTATTTTAAACGGTAGTGGCTGTGATAGTATACTCATATTCGTTAAGATCACGTACATTAGATTCATTAGTTCTATGTAAGTAAGGAGCAATATTTAATTAGGGGGAAAACTTCATTATAATCACGTCGATCTCCAAGGCTTATTCTCATCTTATATAAGTTCCATTATTTTCAATTAGCTCAAAATTCATGATAATGATGGTTGTATTTATTTACACACATTGAATGTTTAGAGAGTGTTGATACACTAAATTTGATGTAGTAGAATTTCTACACAAAATTTGTAAGATTTAGGACTATTTTAATGTACTTTGATTTGATCTGAACTAGTCTGACCTAATTTATGTGCATATCAAATAAGGCCAACTAAAAACATCATTAAAATGGGGTCTTTCCAAAAACATTCCTAAAGTATTCAAACAAAAATGATCTTTGTACTCACTCTTATACCCACTTTTTTACTTACCTATATTTGTGAATATTTTTTTCTGTGAACCCCGGTTCACAGACAATATTTTGCACAGACAAAATATTGTCTGTGAACCGGGTTCACAGACAAAATATTGTCTATGAATCGGGTTCACAGACATAAAAAAACTCTTCAAAAACATGATGGATATAAGATGAGTATAATAGTGAGTACTTCCTCCATCCCTTAAACCTTTGTCATCTTTCCTTTTTGGGACGTCCCAAAAAACTTTGTCACTTTCCCTTTTAATCAATATTTAGTGGTTCTTGTTATTTCTCATTTTCTCTCTCCTCTACACAAACTTCAATCACACAGTTTTTACTTTATTATTTTCCGTGCCGGTCAAATTTGGCAAAGTTTTAAGGGACGTTACTCTTCATAAAGTAGCCCACGTGTTCTTCTTAT